AAAGGGAACGTAGACACGTGTAACAAACTGACTATGCAATGTACCTGAACGGGACAAGCGTCACGCTGACTCTGTCGCACAGAACAAAATCATTTGATGAATGTTATGCGTGTGTTATGGCTGAAGTCTGTTCAATCTTGCGTGACATATGAAGGCCAGAATAACGAGCACAGAAACGCGTAAAGACGCGCATATCTAGGCTGCTAGATGTCGACCTCTGGCCTCAGAAAGTCGGTCACCTAACGAAAGCGTGATCTGCAGCAGTCATGCGACATGATACTTCTCTGACATAACGCGGTACGGGAGTCTAATGCTATACCAGAAACGGAATATTATCTGCATTATACGCCCAGACCGTCACGCACAAGAGCGTGCTGCTGGAGTTCAACTCGGATAGCTATGACGTGACATAGTTCTCATGAAAGCAAAAGGGCAAGATGACGATCAGTAAACGCAACACTCGGGTGCAGCTCGGTGATCCTTCCCAAGCCCAAGTCCTGCGTCAATTGGCCTCATTGTTACGGAGGGATTCTCTCTCCGGCTCATGCGGCGACAACGGTGCAGGGACGGGGACGCTCACAGCTGCACGTCGTCCCGAGTCAATAACACCGAGAGCTGGAAGGGTGCGAGGGAGAACTCCGCGTCTACGCGGGAGGCAGCAAAGTGGGAGGGAAGGGAAAGGTGCATTCGCCGAGCCCGCGCCACCACCTATATGCCACGACGCGTGTGCGGCCGGGGTACATAATAGATACATGCGAGTCGGTGTGCAACGAGACTCACGGAACACAGCTCGGAGGCATGCCTCGTGTCGAGGTGTACACGAGCAGGGGATGAACAGTATAGTACCTATCGTAGTGGAGAGCTCGGTACGCAGCAGGGCAGCAGCAGCAGCAGCAGTTCCTGTTAGGGTAAGTAACGGCGGCAGCATCAGTAGTAGTAGCAGTCAGTCAGTGGGTGGGTGTGTATGTCTGTATAATGATGTGTATGGCTCGAAATCCCTGTACGTCATCTAGCGACGCGCGCCAGAGGCGCGATAACGGATTGATGTGCTTCTGAATATCATGACCACGCAAGTTCTCCCCGACCTCCATCGCCATGACACGCGTGTTTGTTGCGGCCCTGCACAAATCACGCTCTGCGCGCGGGAGCTCGCGGACAAGATCCCCAGTATTGAGCTGTATTATAAGCGTAATACTGTGAGTGCTACGAGTGAGAATGCTGGACTCGTACATGTCGTGTCAGGCCTCTGAATGATGTGTCTGGCGTAGCTAGAAAGGTACGAGAACGGACCCCGAAGAGCTTTGTTTGTGAATATAGGTTTGAGGTGACAAGAGAGAGCATCATGAAAACCACCGCGGACAGCCCGAGTGAAAGAGGTGGTGTAATAAGGCTTTGGGTCTAAGAAGAGAGCGGCAAAATTTTTCTTGCGCGCCAAAAGTTATTCTACGCGTCCCAGTATTAGAATGATGTGTCCCGAAAAAAAGGAGTTGTTCTCAATACGGCGTAACTGATCCTGAGCCCATCCCATCAAATATAAAGGAGCATGCGTACGTATTCTATCGAGAACAATCATTACCGCCTACTGTACAGGGCGAAGCCGGGTTTTGAAATCACGCATGTTTAACGCATAGAGGTGCGAAGACGTTCTATCGAGGTCGGCTTCTGAAGATGCGTTTACGTGCAGGTTACAGCCGTGGACGCCCAATCCATAGGTTAAGATCTTTGGTGCGACGACAGCATTATCTCTAGTAATGCAAATGAGGAAACAAGCGACTATCATCGATGATTCGAGGGAGATGAGTTAGAAAAGATGTGCTCAGTGTGCCTTATCCGGGCATTCGATCTGTTGCAAAAGACCTCCTTAGATCAACGCATGCAATTGAGAGATATAGGTGAAGAAGTACGCCGGTCATGCAGAAAGTGAAACTGTAGCATTCTTGTAAACAAGATCAAGGCTTTGCGAGTATTGAGATTGAGACTTACGAGTCTCTTGGCTTGATCGAGAAGACTACGATAGACTGCTCCTTTTATCGCTGTAAGAACAAATGTCTGAATGCTTGACATAAAGATACGCAGCAACACTAAGCACTACAGTGACAGAGAATCTCAAAACTCGTCGAATAAACCTTCTCCGACATTCCCAACTCATGCAAGTTGTGCGGCTGAGTGGAGTCTGGCGGCTCGTTTTGACTCAATTTAGTCTTTGTTCGGCTATTGTATGTCTCGCTCCGCGTCGATTACTGTCAGACGGTATTCGTCTCATTCATGTCGGCCCGGGTTGCCGGTAGCCTGTCATATATGTATATCAAGTGCAAACATCAGCAGTCATCAACGGCCCAAGCCTATCGACGGCGCATGTTACGGTCGCGAAGCAGATGCGACCGACGGTCTGAGGGACATGTGAGGCAATATCTGATCTGAGAAGACCGAAAACGAAAGGACATTCGCTGCGAGCTCATCTCTTTTTCGATATAGACTCCGAACATTCACTTGAAATCCGGATCAACCCCCGTTACCGAAGTCACGCGATCGTCCGAAGGTGCGTGAGATCACATCGATGCACGCACGCCTTTTATCCAGAACTCCATCGTCCGCCTTACAAACGGTACGATATCCTCTCCGACAGCCAGACATAGAGATCTGATGAGACGATCACCGGCAGCGTTAGAGCCCACCTTCGTCGATACTCAGGTCACAGCCTCAGACGGCCTAGATTATGGACTCGTCTGATCAGAATCCCTCAACCCTTACTCGTCAGATTTTCGCCCATATCCATGCGTCCAACTCGAACAGGGTTGATGACGAATTGATGTGCGATCTTGCTGCGTCCATCGTTGCCACACTGGTGGGCCTTCGCCGTAGTCCTAGACATCAACCCCTCAGTCCTGAGCTCAAAAGATCTGTGCACGATTACGCCGCGGCTGTGTACGATCAAAAGCCAGTAAAGCAAGTCGAGAATGTCCTGATTCTCTGTCGTCTTTTGAGCCGCCTTCACGTATCAAAATGGGGCGACTATGCAGATGTTGAGGATCTGAAGAAGAAGGATGGTGTCTTCGTCCTTGAACCTGTAACCTTTCAGGCTGACGAAGAAATACAGATGGTGGCGGTCAGGCAACAAGACATACCTGAATTGTATTATGTATATCAAGGAGCGGTGAATGCTCTGGCGGCAAAGCAATTTGAACTGGTCGAGGCACGGAACAATATGACACGCGGCGTGGAAGAGGCCCTCAAGGTCTGTAATCAGCACTTAGTCCAGATGCATCACGAGGTGTGTCGAGTTGTGGGCAAAGGAAGAAACAGGTTTCGACCAATCACACAACAGAATGCGGCCATAAAAGAAGAGCGCGATCGCATGGCATCAAGGCTTCAGAAGATAGCAGACGTAGTGAGTAGCAGACAGGCTCTCTACCACATCTCTAACTGCATTCTTAGATGTCCACCGAGGAGTGAGACTGTGCCTCCTGTGGGCCGTTGTGCAAATTGATTTGACTGCGTTGAAAGCTCACTTTGTGATGAGACGGAATTCCACTCTTTCTGTCAGCCTTCCATATGCGCTCTGTCGCCCTCATGTACAACACGTCAATGCAATCTCATCTTTCATGTACATTCATAAACTCAATTGCAACCGAGACAGCCGCTCGGGGCGCCAATCAAAGATCATGGATATACATCATGACACACACTGGAGACCCCGTAGACAGGTGGTATATGTTCCTGTCATGCGACGACGAGGGTTTGATTTCTCCATCTACATGATCGCTCTCGAATTGAATGCATAAAGGCCATCAGGAAGCTTGCATGGCATGAACCTAATGTTCCACCTCATACAAACAAGTGCCCGCATTATGTCTAATTGGACAATGTAGCCGACGTTCTTACTCGACGACAACCCTCAGACCAGCCGCGGAATGACCTGGAGCTTGAAAGCTTTAACGAAGAACTGAGAGATCGTCTGCGCGTCTTACCTGGAACTCGTCGAGTACAGAGAGAGATAGCGAGTGAATACTTTGTGGTAATAGAGCACATTAAGTATGAGGCACCAAATGACTGGCTGTTTTGTCGACAGGTACTGCAATTAGAGTCTACTCTACGGGAAAACCTACTCTTTACGTTTCAGACGCGACGTCGATGCGCCGAAATGGCACTTAGGCATCCGACGCTAACTCGACATGATCTGTGCATACATCGGCAGTGCTCTGGTAAGAGGTGCTGAAATACATGCATAGAGCCAGCCGGAGTATCTGACAATACCAGCTTAGATCACGAAAAATGCGCACCTTAAGCTGTTCCCTCCGCAGTTGTGGTACAAGCGACTTGGGCCCAGGAAAAATACTTCGTCGTTCTCTTGCGTTCGTAACGATGTTATATTTCGGAGTATAAAGGACAGTTGCGGTTGATGCAGCTGTAGGCAGCAGTGACATTGTATACGTAGATGCAGGCCCTCTATGGAGACGCGTCGCCTTGTCTCATCTTGAAGGACAGTATCGAACTTCACGGGAAGTCGATGAATCGAAGGTATGATTTCGCATCCATGCCTTTTCAAGACGTGTTCATAAAGGTAATCAATAGGATAGCTCCTGCAATGGTTGTAATAGGCAGACTGATGCCTCGATAAGTAAGGAAGACGCACTTCTGGACGGGTTTATAGCATGAGAAGGGCAGTTACAAAGTTCGGAGAATCTTTCACCCCCGACCCTATATCGACTTTTCATCGTTCTGTGATCCCTCCCTGATACCTGCAAGGAGGATGCAGACTCTCAAGACCTCCTTCATCCGATACCTTGCCTTTTTTAGCACGATAAGATCCAATCTATCCAGTGACGTAGCAAACAAAGGTAACAAAACATAAGCCCACACAAACAAACTATTACATCAGATACCCTACCCGAAAGCGACTAACCGTATGGCGTTTGATAGGGACATGAAACCGACACGCATTTTAAGGGGCGGGACTGAAATTGATACCATTGATCTGGTTTCATGAGATGTAGCATGGCTTATGTGTCCTTATACTCCACCTGGAGACGATGTTGACCCGCCAAAGCCGCCTTGCATGCATCCTCAACTTGACCAACGATTGTCAGCTTGATGCGATTTCCAGACCGAGACGCAAGCCCACGTAGATGAGTGAGGGTGTGTCTCGTCAAGGCCCATCCGTCGAGGATCATGTGCGTGCGTAAAGAGACTGGCTCTCCTCGACCATGAGCGAGGGTTTTGAGCATATCTTCAACCCTTTTGATGTCCCCGCTGAGCCTGAGAGTCGTCATAACTCCCATACTTGACAGCCCACCGATAGGGTCGCGTTCAAAAGGGTGCGTGGACAGAGACGTCAGTCCAACGTGCAGGCGCTTGTCCACGTGCAATGGAGCTATGGCAGCTAGTATGCCTTCCATGGCTGACGCGTGCACGTTGACATTGTCGGGATGACAGTGCCGTGTGTCCATGCTTAACTTGGCACGTCGCTCTTGGGAAATGTAGCGCAGAACGCTCATGAGTGAAAGGTCTAGATGGTTGTTCTGACTGTCGATATCGAGGAGATGTGATGGATCGAAGGTGGATAAAGCGATCATGTTCCGAAACGTTGCAATCAACGCTTGCAGTCCTCGCTGGATGACGTGGTCCTCGATGGAATGAACAGGGTGTCCGACACCTCGTAGGCCATGGAGGGATAGGTTTGTAAGGGAAGACAGTCCATCGGCGGGGCACAATGCAAACAGACGGTATAGGTCGGAGCAGCGTACGATCACCGTGGCGACTTTTAGACAAGGCAAGGTCAATTTCACGAGCTTAGAAGCAGCAGTGTCCAATGCCTGTTGCATGGACCTGACGTTGAGATAAAGACGTCTCAGCCTGAGAGCGCTGACGACAACGATCGCGTCCTCTGGGATCTCGCCTACGTCTTCGATGCACAACTCTGAGAGCTCTGTGCATAAAGAAAACGAGGGTGCGGATCGCATACCGGAAAGGCGAATAGAAGTGGCGTTGGGCGCCAGGAGTGTGACCTGCTTCCATGCGACATGGCGATGCGTTTCAAGATAGAGAATCCGCAAAGCCTGGAATGCGGGCCCAGTTGAAAAGATATCTTTGATGTTGGTGCATGCGTGGCGGGATAGAGACTGGACGCGGGCGACCTGGAGTAGCTGCCGATTCGAGTCGACGAGAGACAGGAGATTGACAATGTCTCCGCTGGGCACGGCATGCTTAACGCCATCGACGTAGACTTTGAGGCGTGCGCTACTGTTGACCTGCGGGAGAACAAAATCTTGTATAGCATCGACCACCTTGTCTGAGAAAGGGCCAACGGTAGTCCACAGGTCTAGATTGTCGTGTACCATAATGTGCCATCTACGACACACGACTGCGAGGCGAAACAGGGCGCTTATGCGGCATCCCAATGCATAGAAGACAGATCTAAATATCCAACACCAGAGCTCGACCGGAAGATCGTAGGCCGGCCCTGTATTTGGCCTGAAGGTAGTCCGAGCGACTGGTATGTCAAGACGCTGATCGAAGGTAGCCATTGTAGTGAAGGTGATAGGACAAGAAGCCATCTGGCTCAATCACTACCACTTTCACGGAAGTTTCCTTATTTGGGGATGACAAGTGCCCATATAGAACATTCCCGCTTCTGTGACACGTGCGAAATCTTGAGAAGACTATGCCGACGGCAAGACATCCGATGTAAGGAAGTCTCTTTGTCCCTACCCAATCAACGACTGGATCTCCGGTATTCTGAAGCATATCGATCTTGCCGAGCTAGATCCCTGTGAAGCCCAGGCCCGGAGCGCGTGGTACACGAGAGGCTCGAGGCTCGATGGCATCCCTGATCCTGATTTTGTCTTTACGGTACATCACCCATGTTGTACACGCTGTGTGGGCTGGTTTCATCTTGATTACGGCCGTACGTAACGGTGGCACCGTAGACAACGCTCACTCCGCAGCGTCGTGGCCGCACGCCGCCTTCGTCGGCCGGCCACATATTTCCGAGTCTCCTCTGTTGTAGTTAACAACTCTGCCCTCTCGCAGACAAGGCGAACTTCCGGATGCAGTGATAGAGCCCTCAGAGTAATCTCGGAGGCCGCTGAGTGGCACTTGGCACATGTAGTAGTAGCTGGTACTCAGGCACTTCGTAGGAAGACGACACAGTTCTCAGTCTTCTAAGAGACGGTATTCTCTCTCCACCTTGACTCTCGTGCTATCGTAACAGGTTCGCATCTTAATCTGTATTTCCACTGTACGTATCTAAATCAGCACCTGCTACGACTAGCCTCGAGTTTTACACCGTAAGCTTGTGCTAGGGTGTCCTGCAGAGTCCGGATGCAAAAGAACTTGTCGTGTCTTTAGCTTGCCCGATGAGATTGTAAAGTGACATCATAAGCCGCAGTCTCACTCTTCTCTGCTGAGTGGTTTCTCGGTCGCCAGATGGAATATGAAGTCGAACCCGTAGATCACTTACGCAGTGGATTGCAAGAGCAAACCCCGTCTACTCGGCTTAAGTACTAGAACCAGATCAGTCACTGTGGCACATGTTAGGGCGACCCGTGCTTTGCTTTGTTTCGTTTTCTTCGCTGCTGTCAGTGAGAATGGCATCACTGGACAGGCTTCGCATGTTCGAGGCAGCCGACTTATTTATCTTATCTAACACGACTATGCCGCTTTCGCCTCGGCGCCGATAGAAGGAAAACATTGGGTTCATCGGGAATATTGGAGTATATACGGATGACATGCGGATTAAAGTGCGAGGAAATGTGAACAAACGCTCTCGCACATCACTCGTCAAAACATCCAGATTATTCCTGTGATCGTTCCTGTCAAGGATTCCTGACCTTAGGGATGGGTGAATGTTTGAATCTACTTATCATGATGGTGCACGGTCTAAAGTTCGAGATTATACCGGCTTACGGACCGAAGATACTTCGTCGACTGTGGAGCGGGCTTTCGGGCGGAGATGTAACTATTGCTGCTTGTGCTACAGACTGCAGCGACCGAAACACCATACTCTCATCGAATACCATGAGTCACGTTCAGGGGGTCGTAAGCTTTGCAGGAGCTATCCGTTCAACTCGATCTTCTCTGCTTATCATGTACCTCTTAGCGGAACTACATAGTTGGTGGCAATGTGTGGTCACTTGCTTTGCACCGGAAGCATAAGTCCTTCACGGTCTACTCCCTTTGATGGGATCGTTGCAGACATCGTACTTCCCCAAAGACCGAGGAAAAAGATCATATATTGTCTGAGTAACATATCTGCTCGAGGCCATCGGTAAAGACAGTTGAGAAAGGTATTAGATACTGTTCAACGTCGTGCAATTGACCATCTCAAATCTATCCTTCCCAAGTATAAGCTCCGCACTGGCAGTCTCGCTGGAACGCACACGACATCTATAAAGCCTTACTAGATCAAAGTTGGGTCGATGGAGTTGAATCGCGTTGCATAGACTGTGCAGACTGTTACGCTCTCGGCTGAAATCGCAATTTATGCAATCCACGCGAGAGAGTGTCTGGAAATTGTTCGATGCGTTGGGTAGACTTTTAGTGAAGTGTTTGACATTGGTGATATTTCCCAGGTGCAGTCTTTCGACTGAGCAAAAGGTTGCGCAAAACTCGCCAAAGTCGGCCTCATTCAAATCAGCGAGCTCCACGTCTTTGCCTTCTTTAAAGGCGCCAATTGAAGCGATGGTTTGCGCCAAAGATGACCTGCCATCTGGCTTTACGAGTAAAAGCGGAGTTCTGACGGTGAAGCTAGGCACGCTGCATCGCGGATTGTATGCGCGGAATTCGCTGCTGAATTCGGGTTCGCTGGGGCCGCATAGATAAATGGATCGGTAGCTCAGTGGAGTCCCATCCTGCGTGTCCGAGGCGTTCTCTCTATTTAAGGCATCAAGAAACATCTCGAGGTACGGTGGAAGGTCCTGCGCCGCCAAAGGGAGGGATCCGTATCGATCTGTGCCGCGCATGATCACCCGTGTCAGCAGGGGAACAGCTATGGCGCTGTAAATGCACAGCGCCAAGAGAAAAGGGCAGTTGAGATCGATGAGAGCCAGGTGAGGCATGATCACAGAGCGGATTCCGTTGGGGGGCAATCGCTCGGGTAACGCGTTGGTCTCGCCCCGCTCAATGGTGTCATCGGAATAGCTGAGCTCCCGCAGATTTGGCAGAGTGGAGAGAACTTGCAGGATCTTGTCGGTCGATCTCCAGACGCTGGTACCCCTCAGCTTTAAATATTGGAGTGTTTCCCGTAAAAGTGACGATGGGCGGGGGAGTATGCAATATTCCAAGCGCAGAGAACGGATGGGTTGTGGTTCCGAGCGTCCAAAGAGGCCTTCTGGAAGTGATATCATGGCCACCTCCGAATCGTCCCCCCCACTCTGGTTAACCATGAGACTGAAGGTATCCAGCAATGGCATGGCCGTGCGCCTCAATGCGTCGATCACATCTCTCATCAAATGACAGTATGGATCGTTCCGGTCATTCGTGGCCATCAAGACCTCCGGTTCGACATGCATTTCGAAGTATCGTACACGGTATAGCTCGGGAAGTATTTTTCGGATAATACTCTGCCAGCGCGGGTCCTGCCAGTCCAACGAGAGTGGCAAGACGCAGTAAATTGGAGCACTGGGACAGCGCTCGATGCATAGGTCGACCAGTTCGACGCTACGAGTGTTGCCGGGAAGGATGGACCAAAGACTCTGACACTCCAGCGCGATGCACCTGAACGCCTTGGAAACATGAGAGAGCTTCAAACAGACGGTGAGACGCTCCTTCATGCATGACGCCGGATGGTAACCCGGATGGCCTGCTGACAACTGAAAGATCTCAGCCCAGATTTCGGTGCTTAAAGAGACCATGATGGCAAGAGCAGAGTAGTGTCTGGGGAGAAACACGGGCGTCGAGACGTAAGCCGGCCGTCGGCCGCCGGCCAACCACAACGGATGGCACGCGAGCGTGACCATGAGAAAACGCGTTAGTTTTGGCGCTCAAATGTCACTGTGAATGTCTCTACAATCCTAGAATATACATAATACTCTTGAACGAGTCGCCTTTCACTCACCGGTTTCTCGCTCGACTCAAAAGGGCGAGGTAGAGCTTCTGAATACGGTGTGCACTGCTGCTTCAGTTGTTTGATCGATATAAAAATAGTACCAGAATACAGGCTCATCAATTCGCATCACGACTGCTTTACTTGAGTATCAATTTGTACACATGCACGTCATTTACAAGCGGTAGCGCTCGATACATCCCCAACGTATTCTAGAGAGTCTGTCCATGGCTTCTCATCTACCATGCAATCAACTACCTCGAATGTGCGTACGTTCTTGAGCTTCTGCCCAGAGATGCACAGAGCGTTACGAATGGCGTCTAAATGCTCGCTCTTCAATGCCCAGTCTTCATCGACGTCGTGCAGTGTGACGTTGTCGATCGAGTCAAAACACCAAGGCGTCTTCTGAATAAAGCCGAGGATCGTCTGTGCGCTCCTCTTGATTTCGAGCTTGCGAAGCCATGCCAACTGTCCGTTCAGAAGGTAGTCCCACATACACCCAACTTGACCCGTACTTGACTCGGCGCCCACCAAGCTAACAATCTTCAAGTCTCGGACGACTTTCCATGTCATGAGATGGTTGACGGCAGGCAAAAACTCCCCGACATAGCCACCAGACCCGTGAGGGATGACCGTGAGGTTAAAGATCGGCGTGTCGCTGCTGTCTCTCCTGTTGCTTATAAGCGTGAACCTTAGCGAGCCCTCCTGGCCGTCCTCGTACTCTGACTTGTCTATCTCCAAATGCGTGGAGGTTTGAACTGGGAAAAGCGAGGAGAGAGTCCGCCACGACGCGCTCTTCAGCTGTGCAAATGCGTGGGCCACGTCGTCCTGCATGGTACCTTCGCTGGTGGCATCCAGCCTGACACTGGCGGAGAGAGACTTGAGTTTCGGCGCATTTACAAGGTCGAAAAGGAGCTTCGCGTCCTCGACTGACGCAGTAATGCTCATGACCTCCAACGCGCGGAAGTCCACACGAGTGGCCGTCTGCTCGGCCGACCGGCCCCGTACAAGCGCTGTGGCGGGCGGCTGGTCATGCTCTGGCCGCATCCCAGCCATCATATCCACCTCATCAAGATGGAGTGCGAGAGACTGAAGATGTTTCAGTTTCCCAAGCCTTTTCAGCAATTGCACCATCGTATCTCCCGAAAATGAGCTGCAATAGAGCTTCACGTCCCTTAGCTCGTCGCCAAAGCAAGGCGACCTGAACTGGCACAAGTTGGCTTTGAAATTCTTCAATAAGCCCAGCGCTATAGCAGGTCGAGGGTAAGTGTGAGTATGAGTCACATAATGTGCAACTTACCGGGGTTGATTCTACCGAAAAACGTATCTGCGCGGGGCTCGTTATCGAGTTTGGCTCCTGTGATGATGAGACTTGAGAGAGCCGTGGGCTTAAACGCGCCACTGCAGTCGCTCGACTGGACGTTCCATCCCACTGAGCGCACAGACAAGTTCAGTTCGAATATCCTTGGGGAAAGTTTCGCAAGAAGCTTTAGGTACTCCTCCTCCCACTTCCTCTTGGATGCCAAATCTCCACCAAGATATGAGGCTTCTGGGGCGGTCAAGCAGAACTTCCGCGAGCTGTCTTCTCTCAAGATGAACAGCAAGCATCCTACGGTCCGAAAGTCGATTGCCTCTTTGAGAAGATGTATTGTGCTCGTCTCGTCACAAGAGCTCGCCCGACAAGCTCGCGCCGATGCCGCGCGGAGCGACATGTAGTTTTTGAGATCATCGCTCGCACGGCCAGTTCCGATTGCAATGTAACCCATGATCATGGATATAACTTCGAATGGCAGTTTGTTCATTCGAGTACTTGATAGAAGTTTTTTGTATAAGCATTGTTGGCGGTCGGCCCAAAAGGATGACGGGCCACGTACAGCGGTAAGGTTTTTTGGCCAGCTTCTAAACGGTGTTTGCCGTAGACGGCGGGAATAGATGCGGACTGCAAAGACATAGCGCACTAGAAGGGAGAGGCTCTTGTCCCGCGTAATGCGCGGGTGGCCGTCGAAGTTCAGGACGAAGCGTGGTGGACGAACGGAGTCGCGGCTTGGAAAGGAAAACCACAGGTGCACACGTGCCCACCACGTGCTGCGTGATGTGAGCTCATTCACGATATTATCTTCGTGGGTATCTTAGCGCCGTACGTATCTCATGGCTGGTACTATTGTGCACTTATACTTTAAAAAAACGACACTCGTTATCTTGGCTTACAGGTGGGCTTCACTCCAAACATCTGAAGGGAGTGAAGCCCACTGACTCGGGTGCGACATCGCTGAAGACGTTTCTAATTTGTCGCAAAAGTTGAATCGGGTGGCCAGTGCGTTTGTGCTCTCACCAAGTGGCAGAGAGTACACAGCACGGTCGAGATCTGTCACCAACTGGCGAGCATTGCGTCGCCAGCGCGTGGCCAGCACGTCGCCAGCGCGCCACCAGCCCAGACGAGGGCCCTAACCCATGTTTGTTAAACATTTCCGTCTATCATACGCAACATGAGAGCATAATAAAGCAGCCAATGCCGTACCGGGTCCGAAACCTGCTTTCCCGCAGAGCGTGCGTGCATTCGAATGTACACCTTGCTCGCTGGCCAGAAGTGTTCACACGTCGTGGAGCTAGTCGGCCGCTGGCCACCGAGCAGCCACGAGCTGACCGCGTGCTGGTGATGCTCAACCGGCGCAACTGTATCCGTGGCCACGAGGCGCTGCTGGCCAGCGCTGTTTACGTGCGACCATCGGTAACCACGCTTTGAGTTCATATTCTTTTGTGCAGAATTGATTTTGCTTGAGTATTGGAGAGTTCTCGTACTTACGCTTGAAGCATGCGTCACCCGGATATATCTACCCACTTCCCATCACTCACGATGTATGAAGAGCGAGGTGAGTTCTACTATCGCGCCAATTAGCCTTTGCCGCGGTATGAAATCCGGCTTCGTGTAGATTCCTTATTTTGTCTCAGAATCCGGAGATTTCAAGCACCACGTCTGAAAAAACTGCAGACAAACCGAAAAGCGTGCAAGTCTAAAAGGTCATCTGTAAACGTGGAATGGGAAGGTTAGGTGCACGTTAAAAGCAAGTACAAGGTCTCCGATCTCTCACCGAACCTGTTAATGAGCTCTCCAGCGCGCTCTATAAAGGTCTGGAAAGGGTTCCCTGAGCATTGACGTTCTTGATAGAACCGGGTTTCGGGTCACTGGGCAATATGGCAGAGGAGGGTCCCATCGGCGCCGACATCTCCCGGTCTCCCATCGAAAAGCTGTCCGGTCAGTGCAAGACAGAACTGAAAGTACCGTCCAGTCGGATGGTGAACGATAAACTGCCCGCATACTTTCCATGTGAGATATTGTCGATCATATTCCGATATCTGGCCGACATGGAGCCTCTCATCCCGAGTCCTCTTCATTACGGAGCTGTTGCTTGCCGCAGGACATCCGTCTTTCCAAAATGGACGAAGGTTTCTTGTGTCTGCCAGTCATGGCGGCGGGCGGTCATTGGAGACAGGTTTTTGTGGGCCTCATCTGCTGTAAGCGCCCTTGACGGGATGGACTGCTTTCGTAACAGAGTCAAGTTTTCAGGATACCGGCCTGTCGCAATTGCCATACGAGTGAACGAGATGATCCAAGAGACGTGCGATATCATAACATCCTGCAATTTGACGCAGATGGAGAGTCTCTGCATTCTCGCTTACGGAGCGCATGACCTAATGGCCGTACCATTCCGCCTCATTGAGTCGTCTCCCACCATTCGACGCCTTCACATACACTACAAACACCGTGAAGCAACAGTGTTACATTTCCCAGAAACTCTCGCGGCTGAACTGGCAGACACGCTCCCTGGCCTGAGAGACATATACGTCCACAACGTCTTCATCGATCTGAAATACCTGCTTCCAATCCACCGACTCACAAATATTTCTCTCACGATCAGCAGTGATCCCGCCCGCATATATCCGCCTCCATGGATGAGCAAACTCTCCGATCTTTTGTACTCACAATCTGCCCTCGAGTCTTTCACTTTCCAGGGTTCGATTATGCGAGTTTGGGATTCCGATGTACCCACGCTTACAGACACGAAGGAAATCAGATGCCCAAACCTTCGACGGGTGCTGATTGACGTGAGCGATCTTACGTGCCTTCTCATACTTGCTAGTCGTGTTGTAGCTTCTCCGGAAGCACAGATGACGTTCGTTTGTCGGGGCGCCACGATACCTCCTTATCATTTTCTTCGCCAGGCACGCTCGAGCTTTTCAATGCGCATGCTCTCTCGTACAAATTCTCCCTTGCTGGGGATGAAGACAGTAGAATGGCTGGCACATGAAGCTGACTGGCCGGATCAGTGGAAGCCTCTGCACAATGTACCCAGCCCGTTAGTGTACTCAAGGGCAGTCATATACTCGGCTTGGCGTGCAGGCATGAGCGATTACCTGAAAGGGGACGTAATTGGGTACGATGGCCCCCCTCGACCGGACTTCCAGCTTATCGTTGTCGTCTACGCCAAGGCCGAGACTGATTATCTGCCGAACAAGCTGATACCGTTCGAGGCACTCACAGATGTTCAGTATCTGTCCTTCCGTCAGAGAACATGGCAACTTTTCGAACCGTCATCAGGAGACTGGAAAGCCCTTTTCCGTCACGCACGAAAGCTCTGCTGGTTACGCCACGATGGGAATGCTGGGATATCCTTCTTGTACAACTGCAACAACAACTTTTTGTTGCGTGATGGAGATCATGAGATGGCGAAGGCCTTGAATAAAGTGAGGGAACTACTAGCGTTTGGAATGGACTGGTTTCGCGAGTTTGGCGGCAGCTCATGTGCCTCAATGCTTGTGGACCTCGTCCGATTGAAAGATCGCATGATCGAAGACATTACCGTTGGAACGCGTTCTGAGGAAGATATATCTGACAAGGTTGGTGCAATGATCAGGGTTCACCAAGAAGAACTGAAGGATGTCGGGTGTGATGGTTTTGCGTTCATGAACTAGTCATTTCAGTACAGATATGTATCCTAATGAGTTGTTACTCACATGTAGTATGATGTCCCATCGGTGTCTTTGAGAGTAATGATGTCCACCTTGGTCGGTGAATGACCAACTAGTCTGAAAGCAAAAGCGCAAACGATCCAGACGATGGTTCTCGCCGTGCTATGCACCCTTAATGCCGTGAAATTGCAAATATGATTCAACGAATGCATTGATCGATCACATTCACATTTTCACAGTTGAAAGCGTCGGGCGGAGAGCATGAATAATCGACCACGTTATATATAAGCCGCTCGTCACCGCGAGGTTGAAGGCGAGATACATACGCACGGCCCTACGGGCGTACTTGGTCCCTGCCGAAACGAGTGCATGGTGCCTCTGCTACGTGTCAGGAGTGTCCGTCGAACCAACGTCCAACGTTGATGCCCAAAGATTGCCAATAAGCATATATTCTGAGTTCCCGTGAGTGATTATGTGGGACTACCACTGAAAGTTTACAGTACCCTGCAGTACTTGGTACAGCTCTTGTACGACGTCTACAGACACTCGTAGACTTCTGCATGATCGTGTCGTGTCCGAGTCGCCTACGAACTGTAAGATCGCTTCGCTTTCCGAGTCCCTCAGTCCCTGGTCGGAAAGTGTGAGAGTTCTCGAGTGCTACAACAAGGGAACAGCTGCGTAAGTGTTTCTGTAGCACGAGCTCACCGAGACACGTTGCCCGCCCGCCGCGCTGACAACGACAAAGAGGCGCCGAGCCGAACGATGTATCGGGGGTGAAGCAATCATATGCTGATGTGTCGATAGTCAGTAGCAATGCTGATAGCCTTTCCATACAATGGACAGAACAAAAGGGAGCGGACAGTATCCCGTGAACTATGTACAGCTGCAAGATCCGTGCTCCCCTTTGTAACCCTAACCCAAATGGGACCAGGAACCCTTACCTGCCGCAAAACGTCTTCTCAAAGAGATCGCCCTACGACGTGTGGTAGTCAAGGGTCTCCCCTCGAACTCAGGAGTTGGGAGAACCAGGCTCAAAACGCGAAGCTTGCAATTGTCTGTTATTGAGATCCTTCTAGCGCTAGACTCTTTCCGACGATTTCATCTCTCATATCCAAGGCGGTACGGAACTCTCGTCGTCGGGCACAAGTATACTAAAGAGATCCGTTCTAGGATATGATATGAGCAATATTCGAAGGTATCCCACGCATAATCAACTATGGCTCTGGCTTGGTACTATTCAACCTCGCAAGAGCAGCCATACGCTGTCCCTCCGTCAAGATCTTACGGCCTTTGACGCGGGTCCAGAACGAGAGCCAAGACTGTTCAGAATGGTGAGTTGCCTAGATAATGAAGGTCAGACAACCGTTGCACTGATATCAGGAGTGGCATGCATACCTGCCTACAAATATCAGCCATTATAGCCCTCTTGCCCACGCTGGGGTTATTCTTGACGTGCCATAGAATCATATGTACAAAATATGCAATGTCTTCCTCCGTGAAAGCCGTGCGACCGTTGACACATGATGTATTCGTCGGAGCCGTAGGTTGGTGTTCGGGCAAAGAATCAGGTATGACGTATCGCTGCGAGGGAGTTGCCTCGGCGTGAGGTTGATCAAGAGAGGTGTCATCCTCATCCTCGTCTAGTAAGCGACGTGATATCCTGCGAGCCGAAGGATGGGATCGAACATCACCGCCGTCTTCGGGATCGGACTCGTCGGGCGAATGAGACAAAAGTGGGGCCTTGCGCTTTCGCGAAGAAGATGGCGAAGAGGAAACAGAGGGGAACAAGACCGGCCGCAATGTGCCGGGGTGACTGATCGTCTTGCGAGAAGTAGCTGAAGAATGACTTCCAGTATCGGTACCATCCGTTCCTGCCTTTACGAAACGGTCTATATCGTCGGCAAATATGAGGTAGTAGGTGCGCCACCACTCGGCGGAGTGCCCATGTCGCTGGATATCGTCATTAGTACGGACTGGAAGCAAATGAGCATCATAGGACGCACGCCATTCATATCCTGCAATATTGCGTATCGCGTCATGTTCGAACTCTGTGCAGCTCGCATGAACAGCGCCAGTGTCTTGTCGAGTTGCGCCGAGCGCGCGTTCCGGTACTCGAGTTCCACTTGCTCATGTACATTATCACATGGCTGAGGTTGCTCCAGTGCTGGTTGTGCCTGTTGCGCCGGCTGGGGCTGAGAGAGTTGAGCGAGTCCAGCCCACGGCGCGGGTTGCGCGTGAGCTTGTTGAGACTGAAGCGCGGCCTGCATCTATCCGAGGAATTAGAATCTTGTTATAGATTTGCTATGCGGTAGCAAACCATTTGCGCTATTATATTGGCCTGATCGGGCGCCGCACCCTGCGCCAATTGTGCCGGCGGACCTTGTGCCGGCGGAACAGCGGGCGCATTGGCAGCCGGAGCCATAACCGCTGCAGCAGCAAGAAATGCCGCGAGTTGAGCAGGATTTGCGAGCCCACCAGGTACTTGAGCCATTTCAGGCACTAGGAGTTTGTCCTATAGTATTGGACGACAACGCGACGCGTTGTGAGTGCGTAGTTCAAGACGCGTCTTTAAACCGGCGGCGCGCGTTGGCGCGTCAACCAGTGGTGGGAAGATGTCAACGCGGTCACATGCCTTGAATGCTGGGCGATATCTGGTAATATACATGCACGGCCCTACGGGCAATCCTGGTCCCAGGCAAATTGCGTATGCAGTTGAGAGTTCGTAGCACGCCCCGGGAGGTATTATGCTTCTGTTACTCACCCGACGAAGGCATTGACAGTTACTCCAGCC